ATTTTTGAAAAATCTACATATTATAAGTTTATAATTAATAAATAAAATTTTATAAAATGGTAGATAAAGGATTGTATATGTAGAAATTTTATTATAGTATATATAATTAAATTTATTAGGATTTAGTTTAGAAGATGATGCAACACTCGCTCTAAAGCAATACATCCGTCCCGGCCGAGCGATCTCCGAAGACTGACAGAGATTATATTTCTACTATTTATTATATTGAAATAATTCTTTTTAATTCTACATTTCCGTGTGTACTTATTTTTATACTATCCGAAACTCAGTAAACAGTATATTTAACAAAAAATAAAGGGGTACCCAGAATGCTGAAAACTTACTAGTTAGTCACGTATGGGTCCCAAATACCCTCTTTAAACTTTCGTGCATTAATTCTCACATCGAGAATAACGCAAAAAAAATACCCTTGCAGGCTTATCATATCTATGGACAGTTAAAGTTTTTTTCAGTCTCCATCCGGTCTTCAAATTATATTATAAAAAAGTTACAGCAATGTAAAAAGCCGCATAGAGTACATTGGACCCATGAGTAGTTTGCTAGGGTTAAAATATCGTGATACTACATACCATTATTTAAAAAATCGTACTCTTTGAGAAATCTTGTAAATGTAGAAAACCTAGCTTGTATCATTTTTAGGTATATATGCAAGAAATGGAGTGGAGTTATGCACATTTCGGCGTGGCTATCTTTTGTTTAATCGCATTTTTGTGCTTGTTTCCGGAGAACGATGCCGACGTCGACATCGTCGTCGCGTCCTACAACGCGATGGTCTCGACCTCGTCGAAATAAATTGCGCGAGATAAGTTTCGCTCCCATATTTGCGTGCTACTGGGCTATACCATCTTAATGCTGCCGCGATTCTACGGCTGGTAATTGTCGGCCAATTACCGTGGCGCTGACGTATTTAGTCGCATGCGAAAAGAGCCGTCCATTGTTCGCTCCCCGTCTCGGTACCCGCGCTGCTAATTATGTATAATGTTCGCCGGGAAATCGCGGGCGATACATCCGCGAACGTGCGCCTCGTCCTATTGTTTACGCGAGCAATCGACGCCTTTCCCTAGGTGAAACTGTAAAATTCACCGGAAAATCTAGGAAACAGCCGGTCGTTAAAAGTCAATTTTCTACGTGACCGTCCGTAACTAGTAACATAATATACACGCATCAACGTAATAATGTGAGTTTCCTTTCATGAGGTTCGATGTATTAACTCTTCATATTTTATCGTAATATACGAGATAATATAAAATATGACTTGTACTAAAAACACTAAATAATTGTAACAAAAAAGCTAATCAATTAATATAAAGTAAAAAGTGGTAAATTAATATTCTCATTTTGATTCGATTAAAATACACAAATTATAGCAAAAACTGATGTATAACCTGATAAGATAAGAGTCTGCATTTATACAATGTAATCGATGGCGACTGCGATGACATGTAATTTATTCTTGTACGAAGATTTTCATGTTTATTTATTGTATTATCTGTACAATCATCGTATTAATTAACGTTCGCGTTATAAATTCTTTACTCGTTTTTCTACATTAATTTGCCATATTTTTCATCATCCATCATGCTTACCATGCTTTCACTCAGAGAAAAATGTCGTTCAGTAACTATAAATTTATACTAAAATAGCGCCTCAACTATTTACATATTATTAAATTTCTAATAAGAATACTAGATTAAGTGAACTAAAAGGATATAGTAACATTAACCATATATGTAATCAATTACAAATAGTTAATATTACTACATTTTCTTGGTTCATTTAATTTACTCATTGTTCTTATTAAAGCTTTATAATACATAGTTACAAATTCGTGTATGCATTTCTTATTTATTTTTGTCTTCCCCAAGTTCGAAAAGGCTACGCCTTTTATTGTAAGCTGAGTAGTTTTCTTCTCAGGAGAAACTAAACTCCGCTTTGTCCCTCTGGTGACAATACCGCGTACTGCTCGTGCTGAGCGACTTTAAAGAAAAGGTTTTTAATGTACCTATTCCTTAAAATTACCTCAACAATGGTTAATTAGTTACATGATATAGAGTGCTTTATTAAAAAAAAAGTTTTTGTCTAAACTAGAAAAATGTAATTGTTATATCTACACTGAGAGAAAGGATTTTGTTAATTTAGCAAGCCACCAGTACCTTTAACCGGTGATCGGTAAATATATGACAACAAATTATGTTGTTGTGATTGCTGCTAGTCTGCTATACCAACTAATTATTAGTAACAGAAACAAACTATATAGAATCTAACCTATATCTTTTGGATAGACTTTAGCTCGTTTACATAGAATTCGTAGATGATCGTGGAGTCTTAAGTCGTAGGAAACCGATCAAGCACAGTCAAATATATAGGGAGAATACTTGACTAGAATTAGTCAATTTCTTACGATTTAAGACCCTGCACCCGTCTACGACTTTTATATATATATGAGCCTCTTATTTGCTAGCGATACTATTGATTATTTGTTACATTGACGAATTAATTTGCAATCGTAACAAATCGATCGTTTTTTTAACAAATATCACATCTGCCTTCCCTTGAATTGTTTCTATAACAAAATTATTTCTCTCAGTGCATTTGCATGAAGTCCAGGTAACTACTCAATGTAGTTGAGTCACTATTTCACTACCAATTAATAGTGCATACAATTTGTTACCGTGACTATATTTTTATAACATTCAACACTATTTCAGTTTCTATTACTTTGTAAAACTAGTTACAGGTACTTCAATTGCAAAAAGTTGCCAAATTTATAGTTACCAGAACTATTTCGTTTTCTCTCAGTACTCTTCCTTCATCGACGGCGCAAGTATTCTGACGTAAATTATGCCTGTCCGACCTTTAATTCTCTAATCAATGACTCGACTCCACTGAGCCGCGCTAAAACACTATAACACTTTTGTGGACACCTGTAGCGCTTCCAGTAAACCTACGATTACCTGTTATTAGCAGGTTGCGCGGATAAAGTAGATAGAGAATAGACAACATTGTCTTGTTCTGTAGCATAATTAACTCGCGGTATTAATTAGCGGTGATGGTATGCCATCGCGCGGCTTATCCTTGTCCACTCAGTCGCACTCGCAGGCTAATTCTTACGTGTCTTTCGTTTTTACGTGACTCGTGTCACGAAGAGATGTGTAACAATCATACACCTGCATTTTGTGTTTGCATTGTACTTCTTATTGTGGTAATTTCATCATTTTCCGCGACCATCATCAAATATGATTTTGGAACAACAAATTAAATGACGATTAAAATAATTTCCGTTACATCGAAAACAATTAATATATCTATCTTTTAATTATGTGAGAATTTAAATTGGATGTTGATTTTAAATAACCAAGTTTTTGTTTTTGTTTATATAATATGTAAAAAATTATTTTAACTGATATAGATTACGTATACAATACTTTTTTTTTTCTAGAACGACATTAAAAAAAATTTAATACAACAGAAAATTCAATGAGTTTGTTACTTACATAATTCTTATCTAGCATTTTATATATAATATATATTTTGATTTTTTCTAATGTTGAGATAATTAACAAAAAGTGAGAAACCGCAAAAATTATACCTGACACATCAGTCTTTGAAAAATATATTTAATTAGCAGTATCGAATCAATATTCTTTACAGAAATTCTTATTTCCTTTAGCCAAATATACTGTAATATTTTTCTTATGAGCGTATGATAGTAAAAGTATTCGATATTTGTCGGCGCAAGAGGAACTCAATAGTATATAAGATTTTTAATAAGTGCTACGAAAAACTCTGACCGCAGGCCACATACCAACAGTTGGCAAAACACGCCTCGAGAAAGAGACAGAAAGAAAAAAAGAGAGAACAGAGAGAAAGAAATAGAGAGAAGAGAGATAGAGCAAGAGGTCAGTGTGGACTGCGTGCGAGACGAAGAGAGGAGGAAAGAGAGCAAAAGAGCTCGATCGCAGGCTGCAGATGCTGGCGATAGCGCGTATAAAAGATGTATCTACATTTAGTTCGGACAGGCACCACTTTATTCGCTCGCCGAGCGCTAACAAGTGTTTTCCATCGGCTGAAGCGGTGCTTTAAAGATCCGCCGAGTGCAACCGGTCTGCCACGAAGTCGCGCTACTTGCTGGTAGCTCGTTTGGAATTGCGGTAAATCTCGCCGCGCGCGAACAACGCGCAACTGTCAATCGGCGAAGCCAAGTTTTGATTTACTTCACGCGCACATCGTCGTACATCCGTTGGCGTGTGCAACCGGATGTTCTCCATGACTGGTGTGCTTTTTCATCCACTCCATCATTTACGATCCGGTAATGTAGTATTCGCTACAGTGTATACTACTATCTTCAAAATATTTAGGAAGACTTCAATAATAGGTGATAAAAAGTTTCCTATTATAATTCAACTTTATATTTGTATTTTCTGATAATATTAAATGGTAGAGCTATCTGTATAAATCAAATGTGCAATATGTGTTTCATAAATAGCTCTGTATATTTTCTACAATAAACTGCTTACTAATAATTTCCAAAAATATTTACTTAAAATGAATTTAATCTCATCTATTGAGTAACACATTATTTGTTAGATATTAAATGATTACACAACCTTAACACAAAATTTAAATCTATGTTGAATCTATGAAACCATTTATATATATATATATAAATGCGACATGTAATTCAATATTCATCATTAAATGGTTTCATAGATTCAACATAGATTCAAATTTTGTGTTAAGGTTGTGTAATCATTTAATATCTAATAAATAATATGTTACTCAATAGACGAGATTAAATTAACGAAATAATAAAAGCAGTATAATGAAATAATGAAATCAAGGACTATAGAAATATAGACGGTATTTTATCTTTTACAGATGTCGGCTGAAACGCTAGAAATGTTCAACCTCACGAAGTCGAGAACTTCTGGCTTTGATGGGGGTTACAACATCGACTTGCAGTTCTCGAGAATCACGATTCGGTGACGTGTGGCTATCTCCGGGTACCGCCGTGAACGAGTGCATATAAACGTAAAGTTTACCGTGGTAGGTCAATACATGTTGACTTAAGCATAGAAACGAATATTATCCGCGGAAGTAGGCAACTACTTCTAACGGATAAAGTTGACCAGAGAAGTACAGTTGCAATAATCTTTCGGTTCATTGAACTTTTTCAGAAATGCACGCCTATTTCTAGCATCTGGCGTGTATTTACTATAACAGATTTATAAGTAAAACTATGGAAAAAGTAAGATAAAATTATCAATATAATAGTTTTATATTAATATCATCGTTTTTATCGTTTTATCGTTTTTATTTCGTTAAAATAACGACACGCTATTTTTGGTTGAGTTTTAAAGCAACGATGATGATCTTGTTTGAGAACAATATATTCCCTTTCCTTTCTCTCATGCATGTTTAGAATAGAATAAATGTAACAAAGGATTTTATGTGTATCGCTATATATTTTGATAAGTGTATATCTTCAGCTTCATATCTTTCGGGATATCGTTTCTCTTGTTGGAAAGCAGGCACGACTCGGTAACATATGTTTAGTTTGCTACATCGTGATAATTCTGCACATGAGCATATACCGAGCTAAAATATATGATCGTAGGATCAGGACGTGCTGGATTAAGGCAAGAGCGAATCTGTGGAAGTGGTCTACCGCTTCCTGGTAGTCCCGATAATGCTTAATCGGTGGCTTTGTGAGAAGCGGTCTCGCGGGACAACAATTCCAGAGTAATTCTTCGGATCGTAAACAATCCCTTTTACCCTTCTCTTTGGCCGAGTCGATACTTTGAAGAATCTGGCTCGTTGAATCTCTCTGTAAGAAGTTCGATTACACTTATGCAAATTAAAAGCACGCTTTGGTACCACAAGTCAAATAAAATCGCTGCGCGTATTTTCCCATCGTAATAATTTTTAATCATATCGCGTTGCACTTTCGAAATATACAACATACGAGATAGTTTCGTAATAAAATATTAACATCACGTACTTGAAAAAACATTGTTTATGTGGTTAATAAAATATTTTATCCTATCTAATTAAAACATAAAAATGCATTGTACAAGATAAATTATACAAGACGCTTGAAGTACTTGCTACTTGTAGGTATCAAAAGTATATGAATGTTTATAATGTTATTACATAATTTGAAATATGCGATAGATTCGTATTAAAAAAAATAGTGATCAGTTCATTATATATGTATATTGCTCCTTTACTTCAAAAGAAACATACACCACTCAAAAAATTAAATTTCCCAGAAAAGCAGAAAAATCAATTTTTAACCTGACAGAAAATTATAACCAATAATAAGATTCTATTCGGACCGACAAGAATTAAACACTAAGTATAAGAATAAGCCTATAACGGTCAAACTAGATCTTTTTTGCCTAAACAACTCCTAATGAATTATCTATATCCTATATATGTACATGCATATATATCATTGTTTAGGCAAAAAAATCTAGCTTTGACCGTCATAGGCTTGAATATTCTTATACTTAGAAAATTATAAATTAATAAAATAATATCGGCAAAGAGAATATATTCTTAATATGAACAAATGTCAAACTCTTTAAAAAATTTGAGTTGTGACGATTTTAACAATTTTCTTAAAACTATCTTTTTGTTTTAATTATAACGTTTTAACGATTTTTTTATGAAGTTACAATAATTCATTTTTGATGATTGATATGATAATGTATACCAAATTCATTTATTGTAACAACTCAAAAACATTTTTGAGTTGCGTCACTTTTAAAAGTAAGAACAAAAATATAAATAAAGTAGGCTAATGAGAGTCAGCAACGAAAAACGGCGCAATTATTTAGTGAACAACCAATACTCAGGTGTTGATTGAAGTCTTCTGTATTTGAATGTTTCGACTCTCTTTGGAGTCCTCCTCAGCAATGATAATACAAGAATAATTAGCTCATGTGTCCATAATGTGAGTGACTTAAGCATTAAATGGACACATGAGCTAATTATTCTTGTATTATCATTGCTGAGGAGGACTCCAAAGAGAGTCGAAACATTCAAATACAGAAGACTTCAATCAACACCTGAGTATTGATTGTTCACTAAATAATTGCGCTGTTTATCGTTGCTGATTCTCATTAGCCTACTTTATTTATATTTTTATATTGTTTAAAATTTGAGAGTCCTAACATAATTATTGTTATTGTTTAAAATATATAAATTAGAATCGACTTTTTGTAAATACGATCTCAAGTCAGTTGTAAAAATCTATATAAATAAATGCACACAAATAGGGATTAACTTAGTGTCTCCACGAGTACGGAAACTTTTGCAACAAGTGGTATCGTAAATACGATGACTGTGTTTACGATGTCGCTGCCTCTATAACTCTGTCGCCAAATGGCTTACGCGCTGCGATCTCTTATTCCGCATTCATTCCAGTTTAATTTACGATACGCCAGAGAGCCAAATCGTTGCGTGAATTACTTTTCGCACTGATCGCAAGCAACAATTTCCAACAGAGAAAGAGAGAAAGCGAGAAAAGGAGAAAGAAAAATAATTGCTCGATACGTCCTAGGGATCGATCTCTGATGCATAAGTGATACAAGCAAAAGGGGCAGGTCCGTCATTTCTTCGATAACGAGTACCACCAACTTGAAGTCTTTACGGTGTCACACGGTCTTTAATGTCGTGGCATCACATCAGCAAGACGTGAATCGAGATAGCGCGACCGCTGTTTAATTAATGATAATAGCTTCGCCTAACAAGAACTTCGCCCGACGTTTTCTTTTCATTGTCTTTTCGTGATGCGACTCAACGTCGTTCGACGTTCTCTTCTCGCGTTTCTCCGTAGCAGTACGCCCGCTACGGTTATGTTTCTCTTCGCGTACCTTATCCTTGTTCTGGGTAAGGGTCAAATCGACTTGTGGGCCGATCGCATCGCGGAACGTTCCGGTTGCTAGCAAACCTAACTGATCCCGATACCGCGCTACCGTGACTTATGCCAGCGATATAGAGTTGTTTCTTGAATTTTTACCGTGGGCTTCCTTTGTTACAGTCTTAGTGGAATGTCGTTACCCGAGCTCGTGAGTCCGCGCGCGAATGATGCTGAACTTCTTATTATGCCGCTTTAAGCATCATAGACTTCGTGAAGTAGTTACAAGTCGGCACGATTTCATTCATATGCGTAAAAAATGGAAAGACATTGTGCATTCGTTTATTTTTTTAATTATTGCTTTTAATTTATTGCTCTTGGATTTATGTGCTCAGAAAGTAATATTAAAAAGCAGTTTATGTTTAGTCATTAAATATGTTTATTAATTTGTATGATCGTCTCACTAAAAAAGCCTAATTCTAATACTTTTTCTATTTATATCTAGTAATACAACTAATTATGATATTAATTTTATAATATTATTTGTTTATATTTTTGTTAAAATAAAAATAAAAATAGTTTTGTGCCTTCAAAACTAAATCAAATATAAGTAAAAAGTAAAATGCTTATCTAAGCCTTCGAGATTGTTGGTGCATAAATAACATACATATTTGTAAGTTGCAATTAACTTTGTTTATAAGTACATTTCAATTGTTTGCGAATTATCGCCTTACAAATATATTATTTACGCTCCAATAACCGCGAAGATCATATATAGACAAATATTAGATTTGTGGTTACATTATATCGCCGGCTCGCGTAAAGTAGCCACGGTAATGGCGCTGCGCGTAGCTTAGCGCCGAGACACTACCAGTGTCTCCAGATAATATAATTTTTATATTAATATAATTTAATTTAAATTTTTATATATTGGAATCCGCTGTTCGTTATCTCTCACAATAAGTTCTCATGACGTTTGACTGTAAATTGAAATACAGCAAATACCATATTTACTAAAGAATGCGTGGCAAATACTTAAAGAATTAACTTCGTTCGATCGAGAAACGTGTCAGATCTGGTGCATTCCTGGCGTGCGATCGGATCGTAGGAAAAAAAGTTTCAACCGCTGCGCTGTGGAATTAAAAAGCAACATTCTAAACATATATCGGAGCCTCCCCGGGTATTTCACTTTAACGGTGCGGGCTTCGTTAAAAGACTCACATTGTGGTCGACCAGTTCTCTAAGACTGGCCAGTCAATGTTGCAACTGCAAGGAACGCGGACCGCATGTGCACGCTAGCAACATAACGCGGCGCAACGTCAGCGCGCGCACGTACGTACTCTCTCGTAGATACGGTGGTGCTAATTGCAATTTATGTCTCATTGCAGTCGTCGTCGGTGCGCCGCGACAAAGGGAGTTGTGCCGCAGGCGGACGTTTCTACGTTTTAAAGCGTTTCAAGAGGGAACCGTGTCACCATCATTCGCAACAGAAAACACCACAGTTGCACCACTCTTCTCGTCGACGTCTTCGCGAATCGCATCGCTTTTATCAATCTGCGAGAATTCCAAGTGTAGACATCACTAACGAGATAAAACACATAATTAATATTTTTTAAACATATTATATAACTACACTTATATTATATTATAAAAATTTCAATAAATTATCTTAAAGTAATAAAATTTATTCGTTTGAAAATGTTTTCTTAATTTATCACAGTGATATGTTAAAAATCGTACAAGCACTTAAATCAAAATAAATTTTATGTACAAACAAAATATCTTTTTAGAGCATGTTTTTTAAAATAATTTCTTAATTTTGTCATATATAAATATTAATACAATAATTCGACTTGAAAATTGAATTGCGAAATTAAACGAATCATGTTCTATTTTCTTATGTCTTTTATCTCCCGCTTAATTCGCGATAATCTCTTAATTTTCAATTGTTCATGCTTTGGTTGAAACAAATGACATCCTTGTTGTTCTCAAGTATCCTAACGGAGAGAAAGCGTATAATGCTTGGGAGTATCTTGTGCAACACTCCGTGCATACAGCTAAAAAAAATCTCTAAATTATACCATTATTTTCCTACCACCTACTACTCGAGTACCGTTATTCGGTACAAGATTGCCGTCATTGCGGAGTAACAGTAACGCCCGGCGCACGCGGTGCCTCCTTGAAAAATGCTTAATCGCTCGACAGTCGTGATTCGGAAAGGTGAGCAGAGGCGTGAACAAGGTGCAGGCACCGATCGTTTAAAATTCAATGATACTTCGGCACGCTATCGACATGCACGCTTCATATCGCGCCTCTAATCGACTTGTTCTATTCCTCTTCAACTCATAGACGTACAATACGCTGTACAATGAGCGTACAATAGCATGAAAACACGTATATAAATCGCGTATTATGTGTCATATTTTACATACCCGTCGATAAATAGATGTAGTAAATACGTTTCGCGCTACCCTTTCCTTTAGACTTTCCTTTCGCTCACTGTTACAATTGTTACTGATAAACGACACTTCGCCGCATTGCGTCAATGTTATTTCTCGTAATCAATCGACATTGTAATTTTCTCAAGATACAAAAATATTTTTTTAATTTTTTTTAAATATCATTTTCTTTTTTAACAAATAAAATTTTATAATTATTGATAAAGAATAAAAGAATATACTGTTATATTATTATACATAGTTACCTATACATTAATTAAAAAAAAATATTTATATTTTATGAAACATTATAAATTTTTATTATGCGTTTTTATTATGAAATACTACAAGTATTAATATTTAAATATATGTTGACTTTTTTTTTGTTAACTAATGTAAGTTATTCTATATCACCGGAAAAAAAATCAATATCATTAATTTTATTACGTCATAACAAATATTCTGCCAAATCAAAAGTATATGTATCCTTTTAAGAAGAGTACCTGATATAAATAGATGAAATGCGATAAAATGAAACGCTATTTAATTTTATCAATAAATAAAGTCTCGCCTTTTCGTAATACAAATCTGATCGTAGACTTCTTATTAAATTCGCGGCGAATTGAATTTTCCCGTTAGCCTCGTGTTTCTCGTAGGCGCCGTAGAAAACTTCGTCCTCTATAAAGCCCCTGAGTTTTCCTCCGCAAAAGAAAGTTCCACAACGTCTCGCTTCAGCGCTGAACTTGGTAATAAAATAATTATTTTCAAACGACCTCAAACTTCGATCACCATGACCTATTCTTTCTTCAAATTTGATAACATTATTAAATATAAAGATAAAAATATGTATGCAATAATTCTTTAAAACCATAATAACAAGACGTAATCGTATAAAAAGATAGAACTTAAATAGATTCAAAAATTTGTGCTGTGAATTATTATGTTATTTGTTATTTTGTATTTGTTTTATTTTCCATCCACTCTCTTATCATTTATAGCATTTTCGAAATATTTAAATTTTGGCATAAAATATATTTTAGGCCATAATTTAAATTATCGTAAATAACAAAAAGAAAAGATAAAATTAATGCAATATTTACATTCTTTCCTCTTTTTACACAAGTGTGATACATTAATGACGTAACATATTTCAATACCGGGGAAACGTATCTTTAGAGAGTACTATAAAATTTCCACTTTTGGCATTCGTCCAGAGGCTGGATTGGTCGAGAAGAGCCGCACGTGTACGCAGGCATGCATGGCGCAGCTGGTTTGTACGCAAGCTTGCACTGTAGTCAGAGCATATTTATGGATTAGCATACAATGGTGGTGTTTATTAAAGATTCTTCGAAGGTTCCCACCTTCGACGCCGCCTCCGCGCTTCTTCACCGTTCTTGAGAAGCATGATGCCCTCCTCTCGGAAGCTTTGCGTGTCTTCTCGAAACAATCTGATCACGAGAGTAATTTACATTTGATTTAGGTTATTCAGTTCACTTTGATCTCATCATCACGCGCAAAAATATATTTTTAAATAATATATCGTTATTTAATTTACATTTTTTTCTGCCGTTGTATACGTATATGAGTCGTAACTATTGCTATTAAAAATATTCCAATAATATGCAAAATAAATTTACATTAATTTCATAAATGCAGATACATTAACAGATAATGATACAGCACATTGCATAGTACGAATTATAATGTTGAGAGTCTTCACATTTTAGTATGAGAATAAACAGCTTTATTGGATGTTCTTTAAATTTGAATTGCATCTTCCATTTGTATTATTTTTTCTGCATAAAGCTTAATTCAAACCGTTAACTCGTAATCTCGTAATTTCATTGCAAATAGAATACCATCCACTGGAATGCAAGACAAAAAAATATTTTTATAGCAAAGTTGACGGCTTCGCTAGACCGAGAATCCGTTATGCATTATTCGACTCGTAGTTTTCCTCGAATCGACACTTAGCCAGAAGAGCGTGGAGAGAGCGCGGGCCGCCGAAGAACGGCATAAAGAAGGCCGACTTCATCGGAAACGGCCTGTAAGAAGGTACGATACAATGTTCCGAGACGAGATCCTGAAGAAAAGAGAACCTATCGGGCCAACCAGCCGTCTGAAATGCTCGTTTTGGTCAGCGGAGGTTCATTCTCATGCAACTTTAGCCACGAGACTTACTTGGAAGCATGTTGTACGTGTGACCATCTTCTACTACAAGTCACACAAAGCAAAGGAAACACTGAACACAACTCCTTTCGTCCCTTCTCAGCACGATCCCGTCTTTATTTAATTTTGTTTTTATGGTGCTACAATATCCAATTGAAATCAGCCTTTTTCATGATATTAAAGAAAAGGAAAACAATTTACTTGTATATAACATAATTATAAGTATAAAGAAGTTATCATAGATAATTATTAGTGTTATGTAAGCAGATATCCTATATACATACATATATCTAATAGCAAAATAGCAAAAATCTGTAAATTTTTATATAACTTTCAATTGATTTCCTGGCCTCCTATCAAAAAATTCATTATTTTACATTGTCAATTTTCGGAGCTTTCCCTCCTTAATCACCAATCAATATTTCTTAAACTATGACGCGTCGTAAATTCATTGCTGACAGCAAAAGCTATCTCTTGGATATATTATACATCATATTTGGAGACACTGGTAGTGTCTCGGCGCTAAGCCAAAACGCAGCGACACTGCCGTGGCTACTTTACGCGAACCGGAGAGATGCGTCAGATCGAGATTATCGGATCTCAATAACGGCTGTCTCGATTGATTTAATAAATACCTCACTCGATAGCTTACACTCCGATTGTATTATACGTGTTTTTATTTTTTCTTTACATATTCTACAAGCAGAGATATTGCGACGCAAATTTCCGAATTGTCACTTTTTATTGAAATTCAACATCAACATGGGATACGTCGTCATCAACCGAAAAAATGTACGACTGGACCGTCTGGCACTAGATGGCTGTAGAGGCATTTAGATAGATTAGATGCCTGCACATTCCAGTTGACGTTTGGTTTAAATGAATGGTTTGAATACAGTTCTAGAAAGTAGAGATGCGACATTGAAGGATATAGTTTGATTGGCTGTCTAAATCATGTGATCAGACCGCCATTTTATTCATTACTGCTATAATTAGAGTCCTAGGACTCTACGTATAGAGTCTAATATAATGTATGTACTATTAAGTACATGCTATAATAAGTACTAACTTTCTTTATTTTCTAACAATTTAACTTTCCTCATGTAATGCATTATTAGCTGTCATCAGCTTATAAAGGTGCCTTTTCATGCCAACGTTCGACACTCATTTTCGGCGTTCAAAATCATCAAAATAAGTCATGTGATAAAAATTGGCGAATATCAAGAGTCAATTTTGATATTGGATGCTTTCCATTTGATGATACAAAATAATATTTCGATAATGTTTCGAAATGATGTTTGTTTGATGTTTCGATTGCGAAAATTGGTAATTGGTACATAAAGAAAATGACCGAGAATTTGTTCGTAACAATACTATTTAATACTATTTATACAATTATATATTTATAATAATAGAAATTGGTTTTAAAATGGAAGTGAAAAAGGAAACGTAAGTATATGTTTCTTTTTCACAAAAATATTTTATGAAAGAACTTTTTAGAACAAAATAAGATTTCTTTTTCTTTGCAGTATAGATGACACTAAAATACTGCTCGTTTTCATATACCAACGAAATTTTCGGCGATTCTTTTCTTTTATACTAAAACCCCTACCTTGTTTCTAAAAGCATAATATTGTTCTTCGAGGTTTTCTGTAGGCTGCTGGCTACTTATTTTAAACGGATAAAATCTGAGGTCCTTTGTTCATAATATTTCATCTACCAAATTAAAAAGTAAAACATAAATGATACTGTTTTTTGTTATTTATACAAGCTTACCTTTTTAAAAAAAAGGTAAAAAAAAGCGCTAAACGTGCTTTTCGTAAAAATTATTTGGGCCGGTTTCATCAATGCCAATTACCTAATTCGCCGTGGAACTGACTAATCGCGTTTGCTGTTT